CTGATGTGTGAATGGAATCTGGCCATGGAGGCACCCAGACCTTAAAAAGCAAAATCAAAATGAAGTCAGATTTAAAAGCTCCCAAGAAAACAGTGAAGCTCACAAAATCCTCGAGCTCCCCCACCAAACAAATTAGAAACAAAGACTGTGGGAAAAAAGAAAATAGTCATAACTGAGAAGATACAGGCTTGCACCAGATAATAATAATCCTAACATTTGATATAGTGCCTTATCATGTCTTCGAGAAGTCTTAAAGAGCTTCACAGAATATACTGTAAGGTGAATTGACTATATTTTTTGGGTGAAATAGGACACTCGCAAGATATTCCCATATGGTGAATTTGCACACTCAATTATGTCATGGGGGCAGGCAATGCTTTCCCACCATCAGAATCATGTACAATAGGAGCACAGTACTCAGGAGACTGAGAATTACAAGGATTAACAATGACCTCTGTGCCAAATGATCTGAAATTGTAGTTGTTTGTTATTGAAGCCATTTTATAAATCTAGAAATACCACATCAATTGAAAGTGAAGGACTGGATAGCTCTTACCACATCAAAATATTATTAAAAATCAGCAAAATAAGCAAAACAGTCACTCTGGATAAATGTCCAGTTTAACCCCAACAGCTAACTCAGCACAGAACAGAGATCAAAGACAGAACCCTTTTTATTTTGTGCAGTCACACTAATCATAGCACCATCAACTGAGCTTTTAGGAAGTGTAACATCTCAATGTCCTACACAGTGTTGAAAATCTTCCTGCATCAGAACACATCCCCAGTTCCAAGCATTTGGCAAGAAGCATACATGCGACAGAATGTTTTACATAATGGAAGGTAGAACATGCAAAAAAAATTAATCCCTTGAATGTCAACTGCAAGCCTTGATCTTATTCCAATAGCAAACATTCTCAATGACATATACAGAAGCAATAAGGAAGGAAAGAGTAACCAACGTGTGGTCTGCTATTACATAGGCTTCCTGTGGTCAGCACACTGCCCAAATAACTAATGAAAATAATTGTGGTTAACTAGTTCTGTAACAAGTATTTGATCAGCCGAGGTTCCAGTCAGCACTCTTCCAGGTGTTAAGCTAAAGCTTTTACACTGCTACTCCAGACTCAAAATCAGTGCCAACCCATGGCCTTTGGTACAATTCAAGCCACTGCTACTTTTACACCATTTCCAAACACCACCCAATATTCCATGCAAGCAGCACTTTCAGTACTACAATGATGAAAAGATATTTGTGCTTTGTGTAACATGCCAACAGAATTTGTTGTGATCTCAGCTGCCGAAAAAAGACTGGGGACAAATCTGTGATATGAGCTGTATTAGTGTGGAGTGGTAGGCATGACTAAACCAATTCCAATCTTGTTCTCAGTGAAGCAAAGTTCTGGGTGTCACTGGCACAAGGAACTTCAGCAATTGGCATGACACAGGTAGAGAATTGGCAGATGTGATTGATTCATCTTAAACTCAGTCTGGCCTGTTCATACATCCACAGGAACATTAAAATTGCAGGTTAGAGCTGCACCAGCCAAAGCAGCTGCAATGACCTTGCACTTCAGTAAACAGTTAAAGTAGAATGGGATGAGCATCCAATCCTTTTGCCAAATCAGGGAAGACTGATCAACTACCGATGCCAGAGTCTCACTGAACTTGCGTGCTGAAAACACAGCCACCCTTTGCCATGACAGAGCAAAGTGGCTCAGCTAGTGCACAAAGTTGTGGAAAACCAAGTTCAAATCCCAAGGAAATAATGGAGTCCATTAAACAACGTTTCTGTACGACATCTATATATTATAATATATCTACTAATATAACGACAACATCTGTGCGCGCTTCACGAAGGATCTCAATAACCAATTGACATAGAGACACAACTTATACCTCATCGGAAAGGTCTTGCATCTTGGAGTGGCGTGGGCATATTTGCTTTCGGGTACCTTCTATCGTTATTTTAGTTTTGCGTTTTTCACTGCAGTTACACCAGGCCGCCGATTCAAAGTGGCGCTGTGGCACAGTGCGTCACAGAGCACACAAGTAGCCAAGCGGTGGCAGGAACAAAATAAAGAACACAGGCGAAGCGAAGCCGCGGCAACAACAACATTACATTTTTAAAGCACCTTTCACGGCTGAATGATGTCCCAATGATTATAAATTATACATTTATATTTATCATGATAAAGATGCCTAAGCAAAAATCAAACCTTTCAAGGATAAGTAAAAATGCTAGACAAAAGAGAATGCCCATTAAACGAAACTGAAGAACAAAGTCCTCGCACAGGAATCCTCCCTCAGAAGTAGAGATGAAATGTCTGTCTGTGCGTCAATCTACTTCCATATTGGATCCCATGGTTGCAAACGTAGCTGCAATGGGTACAGCTAGTATTATATATATATTATATAAAAATATAGAAACCAAGGTGAGTATCCAAGATCTAGTAGGAAGCAGTAACAGTGATGGTTAAGCTTGCTGAAGCCTAGTTACAGATACCATAAGCAATGAAAGATTGAGGAAGCGTAAACCACAAGAGAATATTGATTGGTTTTGTTTAACACCACTGAATGAAATGGCTTCACATCAAGAATTTTACCTTTGTGTCCATTACTGCTGTAACTAGTCACTTCATCCCCAAACAACATAAAAGTCTTTCCTCAAGTTGAAAAAGAAACAGATTATTGAAAGGGTATTTCAATCGATCAAGTGTGCCACACATTACCTACAGTACCACTCGATCACCCCAGATTCATCATTCAGCTCTGGTTATTGTAATAAGGTATTGTAAATTTCACAATATGACAAAACCATTTTAAAAGCTCTAAAGAAAATTCAGTACTCAAAAGGTAAAAACAATGACGAGGCCACAGTACTAAATTCTCCCATAGCCTGCTGTATCACAGTAGAATACTGTTAGACATCATTGCCTTTTAGTATTTGCCCTTCTGATTAAGGTTAACAGCTCATAGTTTAAAAACACAGAATTACATACATAATCTGCAGGACTGGAACAGGCCATATGCCCAATTAATCCATGCTATTGTTAACGCTCCAAATGATCCTCCACCCATCCTAATCGCATCCCCCACCCCGCCCTAGCCTCCCTCATTCTCCTCTAGTTAAGTGCTTTGGGACATCCTCCCGACGTGAAAAGCACAATATAAAATGTAAATTTGTATTCCTCCTCTCACACACAAAGGATTGAGAAAATGTGGAGTGCTAAACCCAGTGGCAGAATCAGGTGTGATATTTAAAGAGGAGACAGATACTTGGGAAGTAAGGGTACCAAGGGGTATGCAGAAAAGGCAGGGAAATTGGATTAAAAGATCTTCCATGATCTGATAAACTTGTGGAACAGGTTCAATGGACTGAATAGTCCAACTGTTCCTATGTTGCTAAGACAGTTTACTGCTTACAAAACCCATCAGAAAAAACAAATCCAATTAACAAGAAAATAGTTTTCATATAATGGGTTTGCCTTCTGCGCCAGGTTAATGGCTCAGAATTAAAAAACATAGAATTACCAGGGAAGTTAGTTACAACCAATGTACAGAAGCAGCTGCCAGAGAACACACATGTTATACTATCCGGCACAGTGGTAAAAACGGTTACCACTTTAAATGGGTTATTTCTCTGCCCCCTTCCTCCAAGAAAGCTTTTCTAAACAGTTTTAAAACCGAGTGCAAGGACAAGTTGTAACCACTTATCTGTGAGGAAACCGCAAGCATTGTGTGGCAGACAGCTTCCCTCCTATACAAACCCAGGCTCATGCATTAAGTGCAGGACAGCAGCTGCTGTTAACCGATAGGACAATGCAACCGATTGCTGACTATCTAGAAGATAGTTTATAATGGTTTCCTTCATGACCATCTCAGTGGCTTTCCCTCTAGCATTCCTTCCTCACTCCTGTTTTGCCTTTATGACAGACTCTTGTTCACTATCTGACCACAACAGTTCCATCATGTCTAGAAAAACCTACACACAACGCACTAGACAGTTAAATAATCTTAAATCATAACTGAATTTCAAGTTCCTCTGTTCTGCATCCACTGTCAGCTTTTAAGTAACATAGGACTCAACAATGTGAAAAAGGTTGAGAAATAGCAGGACATGAATAAGGCTAACTGCAGACCAGTCACTAACCCCACATGCTTGTTATGTACCAGAAAAAAACATTTCGTAAACCACAAGGAATTCACATCATGTATGACAATTCAGATCAAGGAGTTTGTTGCAATAAACAATTGTGGAGAAAGACTACTTGGTACAACACTCAAATCAGCTGCAATCTGGACAATACTGTGACAATGCCGATCTAAACATAATGTAATTCATTTTAAATTGAAGTTATCTGTAGATGCAGCAATTAGCACTGCAATCTCACATTAGTCCACTAACATATCTGCCATTAGTACAAGACGGGCAACAGGTCTACTTTTTTTTAAAAAAAAACTTTAATGTCCTTCCTCTTCATACTTGATATAGGCTTTTTGGCTCATGGAGTTTACTGCTTAGGTTGAGAAGACGAGATTTATTACGGAATCTCCTACATTGCACCCACCCATGGCCCGGATACCAGAAGAAAATCCCATCATGAGATAAAGAATAATTCTTGCATTTGATATAGCACTTTTCACATTGGAGTACGTCTGAAAGCCCTTCACAAGATTTACCGCATATTTTGTAGGTGGTTATGGTAAGCAATTTGCGCACAGCTTCATCCCACAAACTGCCATGAAGTGAATGACCAATTTTATCTTTAGGATTGTTGGCAAGAACAGAGAAACTCTTCTCTTTTCAAATGTGTCTTGGGATCTTTATCGTCTATCTGAACAGGCAGATTGAAGCTCGATTTAACATCTCATCCGAAGGATGGCACCACTGACAATGGAGCACTCCCCCTTGCACTTCAGTGAAGTGTTTAAGATGAAAGTCCCAATATGGCACTTCAACCCTCACCCAAGAGCACTGGCAACTGAACCAACCTGAAACTAAGGGAGACATCCTGAAACTATGGTAAACTCACATATTACTATTGGTACCAGTTTGAAGTGCAATCTTACCCGTTTATGCTCATTTGGATCCTCTGTCTCCTCCACAATATTCCCAGTTTTTGCTATTTTAGTTCGCGAGTGCTTGATGGTTGTTTTAATGGCCGGACGACAAACATAATTCTCCAGGTTTTTGGGGGGTTTTTTAGTTCTCTTGGTCTGCAGCCCAATTTTCAGTTTCAAGCTGCCTTCTGCAAAATTTGTCTCCTTGACAGAGAACTGCTGCTGGTCTGAGTTTGGGGCATCAAGTTTGTGTCCTGAGTTAGCAGTTTTGCCCTCCTCCTGCTTCCAGTTTGTATCATCATCTTCCTCCAAGGCACCTCCATCTAAATCCCCATCTCTTCTGCCAACAATATTATTGTTGCAATTTGTCGGTGCATTCTTCCCAGAGTTTCCTTCGGCATCGATACTCAATGGCTGGCTCAGGGATCCTAACAATGCATTTCTTTGTTCCATTATGCACACTTCCCTCTTACCAATGTTGGTCAGAAGTGTAAGAAACAGCCACCTGTATGTTCAGATTGCTGCTTTCTATACCAGACGCAGACACTACACAAGCTGCCTGGTGACTGCTCCAAGCTGAAACACAGCTTCACTTTCACTGTGAAACAAAAAAGAAAAAGTCAGCATTATCAGGAATCAATCACCCTGCCAATCCACCCACTCCCTCCCCAGTGACACAATCACAACATTCAGTTTCGGAGCCTTTAAATTAATTTAGGTTTTTGAGCTAAACCATTCAAAGATTCATTCATAAACTTACATTACAATGATCTGAAATCTAAATTTATAGCAGATTGGAGGGGGAGGGGTCACTGAAAAGTCAATTTGCAATTTTAAAAAAATCTGCTGTATTATTGATTAATTGTGTTGAGTGACATTAGAGACCCGTTTAAAAGTAATTGGATGGTGATGAAGAGTACAGGTGCTCATGTACACAGATTAGACAAACACATACATGCCTCGATGGTTAATATGACAGAACAAATGGTGACCAGGCTGCACCAGGCACAAGTTCAAATCAGGAGCAAAATTCAGGGCCAGTAGGAACTCAACTGCAAAGATCTGGTAGAGGTCACATGCAATATGAAGTCTCAACCCCCCAGCCAAAGAATGAAAACCTCAGCACACATCCTACTGAACCAATAGATAGAACATCGACCTAAAGAGCATCGACCTGAAATGTTAACTCACTTTCCTCGCTCCATAGATGCTGCCTGACCTGCTGAGTGTTCCCTGCGACTTCTGGTTTAATTATCAATAGATCCTTTTGATTTTTTACACCATCTCAATACAGGCACCAAATCCCTGGACGTTGTCGGAAGAAATGATAGAATAATCTAGCTCGCTCTTCTTTCAAATCAAAGGTATGAAATGATCTTTTAGTGTAAAACAAATAATTCTACAGCAACATTTTTAATGTTGGGATCAGATGATGAGAAACCATAAAGCAAAGCTCAGGTTGTTTAGACCATTAGCCAAATCCTAGATGGAACGGCTTGCCTTGATGGAGTGTTAAGGGTGAAATTGAAAGCACATTTCTTACGAGAAGCTGCTTCTTTAGGGTGAGGGAACTGAAGCAGGTTATTAGTACATTGTGGATGATGGAGCAACTCATAGACTCCAGTTAGAATCCTCCCCTTTGTGATACTTATTGAAAGATGGCAAACATACATTTATTTAAAATGTCTATTTTGCATGCCTTTCTATAGTGTTCCACAACGTGGTTGCATAAGTACTCAATAATGAGCTGCACTGGCAGTAAAAATACACTGGTCCACATGAGGCAAGCTCAAAATAGCCTCCAGACTGTATACACTTCACGTAATGGAATAGTATAGCAGGAGTTTTTCACCTACAATAATTAGTTTAAACTTACCAATTGAACCACATCTGCCACCCATTAGCCCAGTTACCCAAGATTCAATTCCTTCTCATTATTTGCTCTGCCTCCTATTTCAGTAGCATCTGCAAATGCTCACATTCTCTTCCACAAGAAGAGAATGAGGTCCAAAGGGAAAAGCAGTTTGAATTGGAAGATGGGTGCCTACAACACTTCAGTCAGTATCATCAAAATTCAACTGCTAGTCACGCAATGTGTGCTGGTTCACATTGGCTTCAACAATACAATTTGTATCTATACAGCACCTTTCACATTGGGAGGATGCCTCAAAATATTTGTCACTGCCAGCTGGGCATCCGAGTTGGTGGTAGGACACTAAGGGGGTAGGCAGGAGAAAGTTAACTGAAAGCACTGTCAGAGGTACATCTTGAGATGGCCTTGAAAAAGGGGAGGGAGCGAGTTAAAGGATGGATTCCATGATGGAGTTACAAAGAATTGGGGGGAGGGGGGAGAATGGCTGAAAGTATAACTTCAGCGCTGGGAGTTGAAGAGCAATAGGCCAAATACTGCACAACAACAGGCATCACCTGACCATTGGTGGAAAGCAGCCAATTCCAGGATTTAATGTAAAACTGTCAGTCTCCAGAACATCAGAAACACGGATGAAATTTCAATGAGCTCAGACATGCCGGAAAAGAGAACGCTGAGCCAGTGAGGGGAATGACACAAATCTGTGGTAACAACAGCACCCAAACAGACCAACGTTTATTGCAATGCTCTTGGGTACAGCTAACAGCATTACATTGAATCTGATTTTTTTTTAAAAAGTAAATCTCTACCATACAAAATAGCCTTCAACAGCACCACTGAATGCAAGGCGAACATTATTGAGGACTAGAGACCTGTCTCTAGTGTGTTGAAGAATCTGGCAACGGCTCAGAGCTTTATCAGCATCAACACTATGCAAGCGCACACATTGGATTGCACCCTGGTCTGAAGAAACAGCACCAGTTGGGAAAGCTCCATCAAGTTTCTTCACTTGATGCAGCGGTTAATGAACCCTACCTTCTTTTGAGGAAGTTGTGGGATATCTCATTTTCTGAAAGCTTGCACACCTCCACTACAGGTATACAATAAATATAATAATAATCATCCTTGCATTCGATATAGCGTTTTTCACGTCTTCTAGACATCTCAAAGCTCTTCACAGAATATACTGTAATGTGAATTGACTGAAAGACTACCCCTAACTTAATACAATTTACTTAATACAATTTCAAAGGTGTGCATCGGGAGATTCAGAAAGCCAATAGGAAAAAACATCTGTATTAGAGAGTAAACAGCAATTTGCATTTATATAGATTTTTTTCATGTCAGGACTTCACCACATAACTTGGTCTATCAGTTGGTTATAACTTGCATATGGCAGATTATATACAATATTTGGAAAGATAGGGATCACTGGTACATTAGCAAAGCAGTCAATGTGGAACTGAGTGGAAGGTCCTGCCTGTGCAAAATTTTAGCTCTCAGCTGAAGTCCCATACATGCTGCTCTAAACTAGCCCATGTGCCCCTTGGCTAGGATAGGGAACAAGTCATCCAGATAATTAAGATAATCTTAAAATTAGTCTAGTTTCCCCCATATTGATTCATTCAAATGTGGCATTAGAGCACTGCAAATTGCAGATACTCATGTAGACCTCGAGTTTCAGTAGAAATAGGCATATGCTGTTTACTCATTTAATTCCCAGCACTTTGGGACATCCTCCTGACATGAAAGGTGCTGTACAAATGTAATTTTGTTGTTGCTCATTCATAGGAGTAGGCCATTCAGCCCATTATGTTTCTGCTAGTATTTTATTAATCCTCAACAGCTATTTACCATTTTAATGTCAAATTTTATTGGGTTGCAACACTCAACTCAATACTTCCATTGAGGTAACTTTTATAATTGCAAGGATGAAGGGGAACACTTTTATAAATTAGTATGCAGTACTTTCCCCATTTAGGTTAATAAAAAGTCTCCTGAACTTTATTCAATATTTCTTGACTGAATGTTCCCACAAAACCTAGGCAATTGACATTTAACTGAAAGAAGGACATGCTTTAATGGAATGAAGTGTAAGGCAACCCTCACACAGCACGCCTGCTCAGCAGTATTGCATTTCTGTACAATTGGCTTTTCTATAAATCAATGAGGAGTGGTTAGTCTCAATGGAGTGCTCAACATGTTTCTATATAAACATAGCAAAAGAGCAAGGACTGTATTTGAAAGAAAAAGGCAAGTTTCAATTGGTCTACAAGACCAACTACGCAGAAATCAATAGCAGCCAGGATTTTGCACTGTAAAGATTTCTAGGCCCCAGTGGACACCTGTGGAACATGGCCATTTACATCAGGGTCTATCTAGTAAGGTTAGTTGGCAAATTGAAGATGAGACGTAAATAGGGACAAGATAGTTTACACAGCAAGCACTTCATTCTTAGAGGAATCTACTGAAGGTTTAAATATAAGTGAAAAACATTTAGGGGTTTCTTCGATCCGTCTGTTTGTGGTTCTAAAACAAAATCACATTGGTTGACTTCTTGACCTTCACATTTTGCCTTAGTCATTTTGCTTCACACAAAAAAGGCTCCAGTGAAACTGGTGAGCTGAATGAAATCAAGAAGTTCTGCAGCTATTAGAACTATTACTTATTATTGATGGCACATGTGTTAAACTGAATGATCATCCATTTAATTAAAAAAACTGAATCCCAATGCAATTAATTACACTACTCAAGTAATCAGCTTCAGCCTATCATGCCAGGTATCAGCCTGGCTCAGTTGGTAGCACTCACACCTCTGAGTCAGAATGTTGTGGGTTCAAAGCCTCACATCAGGTCTTTGAGCTCACAGTCTAGGCTGAAACTTTTTTCATCCTCACTTTTAAAGTCCACCATTGGCAGTCAGGCCTTCAGCTTTTCTGCCCCCACCTTCTGGAACTCCATTCCGGAATCCCTCCGCCTCACTCCCTCCCTTGCCTCCTTCAAGACCCATCTCAGTCCGTTCATGGCTGATTGTGGGGTACTGCTGTCCACATATATGGTAATATGGAAACCAAAATATAGAACTATGCAGTCTTTTTATATAAAAAGATTTTAACAAAGCCCTTGGATTCACTTTCTTTCTTTCGAAATGCCATGTTGGCTGCTGTGTTTGACTACAAATATACAGTCACTACCACAGTAAACCCCCATGAAGCACTTTCAGATGTTTGACGATGTGATGCAGTGCAATATCAAATGCAAATATTATTACAAGATATTTAAATGTACTATTCTTTTCAAGATTATTAGCACTGCTCAAGGTCACATAAGTAGTGGTGAGTCTTTATAGAAAGCTTAATGGATACTGTTCTGTCCATACAGCTCACAAATCAGAATTAAGGCACTGCTCACTCTTAAACCATTTCTTCTCCAGGAAACAGTTGAGAAGACAGATTATTGCAGCTGGACTAAACTTTTTTGGTTTATTGAAAAATGCATAAGAATGATGGCACTTTCTGGAGAAGCCTAAGAATAAAAGAAGAATAATCAAATTGGTATGTACAGCACAGCATCAAAAACAGGTGGTGCAGCTTTAACAATTACAGCCCACCATGGAGTCATAGCCCAAGGGTAAAGAAGGGATCCCCTTTCCAGCCAGTCCATCTCAAGGTTTTTTTTATCATTTACTTATTGCCACATCAATGAGGAGCAAGTAGTTGATTCACCAT